TAGTTCTGGAATATATCTTACATCTATAAGTGTTCTAATAACCCCATCGAACATTTTTATCCTGATCTTGCCAACTCCGACTAGTTTACAAGGTGCGTTGTTTCCCATAATTACAGTACTTCTAGAACCTCCTTCATATGTAGAAAACCAGTCCTTGTTAGGACACATATGAAAAGTGCAAGCCGAGTCAAGAATCTATTCCTCACAAAGTTTGGAATTCGAATCAGAAATCACAAGTAGCTCTCCACCACTTTGCTCATTTTCCACAATATCAACTTCCACTGTATCATTAGATTGCTTCGCTTTCTCGTTTGCACCAGCAGCTTTATTTTTATTTTTCAAGGCGTAGCAATTAGCTCTAATATGCTTCTTCTTCTTACAGTAGTGACATGTCTTCTCAACATGTCTAGACTTCGATATGCCCCTCATATTTCTACCACGACTCCTATCTTGTTGTCTCCCACACATAACCAAGCCTTCAGCATGATTTCCAGATCCTCCAGCAAGATGCCTCATCTTCTCCTTAGATAATAAGACATCATAGACCTCTTCCACGGTGAGAATATCACGACTATAGAGAATTGTATCTCTGAAAGTCATATATGATGGTGACAGTGAACACAACAACATCAAAGCCAAGTCCTTCTCATCATACTTAAGTCCAATATCTCCAAATCAGCCACAATTTCTTTGAACATAGTTAAGTGATCATCCAATGACGTACCTTCAGACATTCGGTGAGAATACAAGCGTTGTTTTAGGTGTAGCTTGCTGGTCAAGCTCTTTGTCATGCAAAGTTGGTCTAGCTTCAACTTCAACGCAACAACTCTATTCTCTTTAAGAACATCCTGAAGAATCTGATTCGAGAGATGTAGATGAATCTGAGTTTGGGCTTTTTGATCCCTACGCCGCTTCTCATCTTGAGTCCAAGCAGCCGACATTCTATCAAGCCAAGCAAGGCTTCCTCCAAATCCATCAGTGACAAGACCACTCGCATCTTCACTTGCCATAAAGTAAATCTCGTGTTTCTATCTAACAACGGAATATTAAACTTCATTGATGCCATGCAGAACAATCAACCTCACGCTTTGATACCACTTGTTATAAAACTGATCGCAAGATATGGCAAATAATGAAGAAATAAAGAAGAAAACAAGAACACAAGAATTTACATAGAAACCCAATTCGGGAAAAAAATAACAGGCAGACGAGAACAATCTACTATAGTCAATAGTTTTGTATTTACAATTAAGATTTCAATAAACTCAATTGAAATCTAAGCAATCTCTCTCTAAATATGTTGTTGAATCTCAAGAGTATAATCTATGAATGTTATATGATGATCTTAGATGTTGATACAATGTTGTTATATATACAAACCCCCTTATTGGAGTCCTAGATGGAGAAGAAGTCCAAAAATTCGGATAG